TTCTTGAGGATGAGGACTGACTCCCAGGCTCCCCTCCACCCTCAGCTGAAGCTCAGGCTTCAGCCAGCACCCAGCACACATCAGCAGAGCCTTGCCCAGCATGCACCCAGGCGGAGTCTGCTGCTGGCTTGCTCTGGGGCCCTGGGCGAGCTCGTGTCCTCTCTGAGCCTGTTTCCTCGTCTGTGATAAATAACAATAACAAGAACCCACGTTTTTTGAGTTATCTTTACAACATCTTGTCAATCCTATGAAGTAGGTACTATGACTATCCCCATTTTATAGACCCTGCAGGCACAGAGGAGTTAAGTGACTTGCTCAAGGTCACACAGATACTGAGTGTTGGAGCTGGGGTTCTGGCCTGGGCAGCCGGGCCCCAGAACATGCGTTCTTAAGAGTGGCGATCCTTCACCGGGCCGATGAGAAAACCATTCTCATGACCACCTCCCCTGTTCAGATGAGAACACTAGACCCCTAGGAGCTCTAGATCCTTCTCTCCAGACTGTATTTTCTCAGCTCATTATTATCCAGCAACTTCAACCCTTGCCTAGCATTTAGTCCTTTTTCTGGACTGAAAGCTTCGCAGGGGACCATGTCTACTTTTGCTCACCCTGGGATCCCAGGGACCAGCCGGACACCTGGCACGCGAATGAATGAAACACAGCCCGCAATCACACCGCCGGTCAGACCCACGCCTTTCTGAGCACCTTCTCATCCTAAATCAATGCTGCTCAGACTGAAAGAAGGAATTCTTCAGGAAGAAAGAGACAAGTTCGTCCAGGAGGCAACTCCTTCTTGGAACACCGACATGACATACATTTAAGAATAAAGAGCAGGCACGGGAGAGGGAGAGAGCTAGAAGGTGCTGGCTGCTCGGTGGCCCATCCCCTCTGGTACTGGACAGGCTTCCAGAGTGCATGACCATGAAGAGGGCAGTGCAGGCTGGCACTGGCCCGGACTGGCTGCCCCAGGCTGTTATCGCTTGCGGGGCCAGAGCCTGAGTTGGGGCAAACGTGGGCTGTTAAGATGCCAGAAGCAGCACCTGGAAGCGCCGAGTAGAAGGAGATGGGCCCCAGGTCGCGACAGCTCTGTGTCCCCTCCTTCCCAGGGCTGGCACACAGGAACCGCTGTCTCCCCAAATTGAGCCTGAGTTCTAAAGACTGGAAGAAGCTGCCTGGGAGTGGCCACCCCTAGGGTGGGCACTGCACTTGCCTGCTTCAGAGCATTTCCCTAAAGGATCCCTCACTTGCCTGGGAGGGACCACTGGTCCCAGTTTACAGGGGAGGAGCCCCAGCGAGGCAGGAGTGGCTGTGCTGAGGCCGCGTGGCTAGTGAAGATGGAGAACAGCTGAAAACCTAGAACTCCCAGCCCCAGCCTGGCCAGATCCACGTGCCTCGGGCCAGGGTTTGCACTGGTGCCTAGGACGTGGGGCCACTCAGGAGGGCTGAGTCCCATGCCCTTGTTTCTTGGCCAGGAGCCTAGACTGACCCTGGCTGACCTTGCTCATGCATCCAGGCCCCTCTAATCAGAAGCAGCCGTCGTGCATTTCTCTCTGCTCAGCGGGAGGCTCCGAGAAGCAGGCATTAGGAAGAGTCAGGTGACATGAGGAGTCTGATTTGCCAAATAGCTCTGGACTCATGGGCCGTCCCAGGAGCAACAGGGATCAGAGGACACTTAGGCGCAAAAGAAGCTGGGTCCCCGCACCCCGGACACCCGCTGATTTTGAGCCCTAACCATCATTACTGTAGTAGACACCACAATCATGATGGGCAGTTGTCACAACTGGCGGAGGCTCAGGAGGGAGGCAACGTGCCCGGTCACCCGGGCTGTCTTCACCCACAGGCGTTACGGCAGTCGGCAGATGTACCGTGCACTTGGCTTGTCCTCTTCGGACTTTCCACACAGCCTTTGGGAACCCTGGAAATGCTGCCACTTGTCCCTCAGGAGGGGTCCAAGATGCTGTCTGCTGCTTTTTACACTGACTCATTGCCCAGATTTAAAAATTGGGAGATACATGGGGCACCTGGGTGGTTCAGGTCATGATCTCAGGGTCCTGGGATCGAGCCCCACATCGGGCTCCCTGCTCAGCAGGGAGCCTGCTTCTCCCTCTGCCTTTGCCGCTCCCCCTGCTTGTGCTCTCTTTCTCCCTCAAATAAATAAATCTTTAGAAAAAATTTAAAAAAATAATAAAAATTGGGAGATTCACATAAAAATCCTAGTAAGAGAAGGGACTTCTTTAACCAATGTGCTGGTTAGTGCTGGTTAACAAAGATTAGGGTTGAGGCCCCCAGATTGGCGTTCTGGCTAAATCTCAATTCCTGGCTTCAGGATCTGGCTAGCCAGGGCCTTTGGGAAGGGTGAGGCATGGGGCTTCAAGGCTCCACCACACAAGTAATTTGAGGTCCAGTATCTGAGATGCCCTGAAGGCCTCCACTCTGCCTTCTAGCACATTTCCCACGGCTGCCTTCTGCACGAAATCCAAACTCCTGCCCACACTCTACCAGCCTCACGGGGTCTGGGCCCTGCCAGACTCCCTTCATCCTGGGCTTCTCTCCCCTTGGCTCGCGGTGCTCCACCACCCTACCCTTCATTTTGCTTTTCACCAAAGCCTGGTCCATTCCTACCTCAGGGCCTTTGCACACATACTGACTGGCACACCCCCCCTCCCCAACTCTTCCAATGGCTGGTCTTGTTGATCATCTGGTTTCAGCTCACATGTGGCTTCTGCCTACTTCTGTCTACTCCTCCAGCTCCTTTCTTTCCTCACCAGCCTCATCACATCACAGCTGAAGACCTGGGCCGGAGTCCTGACTCTGCCAATTCCTTAGGGTATGACCTCGGGCAAGGCTCCTACCTTGACTGCTTTGGCTTCCTCACCTGTCATAGGGTCATAATATCCCCGCCTCACCAGGTCGCTGCGAGGGCCTGGCTCAGAGTAAGCATGTGATCCCACAGCAGCCAGTGTTGCTGCCCCCCCCCGTTATCATGTCCCCCCGAACCTACTCTTCTGGACGATGCTGAGGTTTGTTTTGTGGCATCTGTAGCCCAAACGAATGCTTCCAGGCCAAAGCAGGCCCCGGTTACAAACAGGCCACAGCTGTGGTCTCGCATCTTACGTTGTGCCGGCGCCCCATTCTGTGCACCCTCCTTTCAACCAGGGGCCTCACGACTTCACCTGGAGCCCTGCTCGTGGGAAAGCTGTTCTTCAAAGGAACAGAGCACATACGACCTGGCTGGAAAAGAGGCTCAGGCCACCCTGGCCTTGGGGACTTTATGGCTTGCTCAGAGCAGTCACCCCGTAAAACCCCCTTCTTGATGAAAGCAGGACCCCCCTCCCACCACCAGCACTCACTTCCCCATAAATCTGCTTCTTATAAAACTCGACTTGGGCGCCGCGTCCTCATTTTGGGCAGCTCGACCCCACAGCCCCACAGCCCCACAGCCCCGCAGCTGGGAGGCCTCACGGGCGTGGGCTGCCGGGAGGTCTGCACAGTGCAGCTGCGGTGAGTGTCCAGGGACCACAGAGCTTGGCCTTCACATCCTTCTGGGGACACGGCAGTGTGGGGACTACCAGGCCCATCTTGTCTCCGAGGAAACTGCCTAAATAAGCACCAAGCTCTGAAAGGCGTCCAGTAAAGCAGTTTTGCTTCTCTGCCTTGGGCTTTGTACTTTTAACTGTTTTCCTCTTTTCTTTCTCAGGAATTGCTTTTTGGTAGAAAGCACACCCAGCGCCCCCAAGCCTCGCCTTGCAGCCTCTGTCACCCTAGTGCGCGCAGGACCCCTCACGCCCGAGGTCCCGTCCCATCCTCCAAAGACCCTGGTGGGTCAGTGCCACATCTCCACTTCGTGTGCGAGGAAGCTGAGGGCTCCCCCACAGGGAGTCGCAGAGCTGGGGTCACGCCCACCAGGCCGCCTCTGGGCCCAGGGTTCTGTCCCCACCTTTCAGTGTGAGCCACGCCCTGGTCTCCGGCTGGTGCCACAGTTGTAGGCCAGGCCCCCCCCCCCCGGCACCTCCTCCTTGGGGGCCGGGCTCAGGTGGGGTCACGTGGCTGTCCTGGCCTCCTTCCCCATCTACTCTTTTTTTTTTTTCTTTATTAAACTTCTGTTTTAATGGGTCTTAAAACTCTGTGACAAATTTCTGGCCAAGTTGCTTCCATTAAAAAGTACTGATTTAAAAAACGGATAATTTAAAACCACCACTCTCGTGAGCGCACACGCTGGCTCTCGCCCGTGCCCACAGCCCACTCTGCTGCAGCACACAGCCCGCCTCGGGATTCCAGACCCTGCCATTATCTTAAGCAAGACACGCCTCTAGGCCTTCGCAAATGCTGTTGCCTCTACCTAGAAGCCCCTCTCCTCCGGGCATGGGGTCCTGCCTTCTGGCCCACTGTCCTACCTCGCAGTCCTGCTGCCCTGGGCCTAAACTCTGACCACCCGTCCCCTGAAACCAAGGCCCTTCACCTGCTGGGCTCAGCTAGAGGCCAGGTTCTGTCCCAGCCTGGGGCTGCGCCGGGCCACTCCCGCGCTCCGGCCGGCCTGCCATCCCACCCAGCATCCAGGGGGCAGCAGGCTCCCGACCACAAGGACCTTCTGCTGGCTGGTGACCCGGTGAACGTGCGGAGACCGAGAAATTGGCACTCGGCCTGGTCAGACCTCCAGCTCACCTTGGGGAAGGGGGACCACGGAGGATGGGGCCCCACTCTTCCTGGCCACAGCCAGCCTTCAGCCCAGAAAGGAAAACAGCTCCTCTGGTCACATCTGCCCATTTGCGGCCCCACCTCACCTCCACATAAAAACACCAGGAGCACCAACAGCCCCGGTGTAGCGGGCGGCGGGCGGGAGCTGGGAGGAGGTCTGTGCAGAGCCCACACCAGAAGCACAAAACAGCCATTCAGGCCACCACCCAAATTCCCTGCCTGGACCCCGAGGCCCCCGGAGTCAAGACGTGGCGAAGGGAGTTTCCAGGGGCCGCCTGTTTCTGGGGGGGTGGGGGGCGTGCCCGGTCAGCACGGGCAGTACTCACCGTTGGAGCGGTGGATGCAGGTATGCTGGTTGTCGCTGAGGAAAAAGCCACCGTGGCACTGACACTCGTAGCTGCCCATGGCATTGACGCAGATCTGCTGGCAGCCGCCATTGTTGTCCTGACACTCGTCCACATCTGCGAGAGGAGAGAGGGGACAAGAGAAATCGCACCTGGTGCTGGAAGTGCGGTGTGATCCGTTGGGAGGGCATGGATGGGATCAGTTTCCCCAGGCTGCACAGAGAGGTACTCCAGTGATACTCCACAGAAGTACTCCATGTGGTACTGCACAGGGCCGCACTGCGGTGATACTCCCTGGGGGTACTCCATGTGGTACTGCACAGAACGATACTACAGTAGTACTCAGATGTACTACATGTGGTACTCCATGGTAACGCTGCACAGAGTGAACTAGGAATACTCCATAGATGTACCCCATGTGGTACTCCGCAGAGCTATATCCTACAGTGATATTCCACAGATATATTCCATGATGTACTCCACAGTACTACACGATAGTGATACTCCACAGAGGTACTCCTTGGCAGTACTCTATGGTATGGCATAGAATGATACTAGTTATACTCCACAGATGTACTCCATGTGGTACTTTAAAGATTTTATTTATTTATTTGACAGAGAGAGACATAGTGAGAGCAGGAACACAAGCAGGGGGAGTGGGAGAGGGAGAAGCAGGCTTCCTGCCCGAGCAGGGAGCCTGATATAGGGCTCGATCCCAGGACCCCGGGATCATGACCTGAGCCGAAGGCAGACGCTTAACGACTGAGCCACCCAGGCGCCCCTCCATGTGGTACTTTAGAGAGCTATCCTACGGTGATACTCCACAGAGGTACTCCATGGTGATCCCGCACAGAGCTATAGTATGGTGATACTTCATAGAGGTACTGAATGTGGTACTTCATTCAGAGTGCATACTCTAGTGCTATTCCACAGATGTACTCCATGTGGTACTCCATGGTGACACTGCACAGAGCAATACTATGGTGATACTTCGCAGACGTACCGAATGTGGTACTGCATGGTGGCACCATAAAGGGCTATACTACCATGATACTCCACGTGATACTCCACAGTACTGCACAGAACTACACTATAGTGATACTCTACCGAGGTACTCCTTGGTAGTACTCCATGGTGGTATTGCACAGAGCGATACTACAGTGATACTCCACAAAGGTACTCCATGTGGTATTCCACAGCAACACCACACAGAGCTATACTATGGTGATATTCTATAATGGTGCTCCACAGTGGTACTCTATGATAGTACTCCATGGACATACTCTACCTGGTACTCCACAACAGTACTCCACAGAGTTACTCCATAGAGGTAGATAGTTACAATGGTTGTAATGCTAGCTGACCCTCAGTATCCTGTGCGACCCGCACTGTTCTAAGTATTTGACCTGTACTAACTCCTTTAATCCTCACAGCAACCCTGTAAATCAGATTCAGGTATTAGCCCATTTTATAGATGAGGAAACTGAGGTCCAGAGGGGCAAAGTCACCTGTCTGAGGTCCCACCTGGTAGTCTGACTCCCAAATTGTGATCTCATGGATACTGCTGGATTTTCCCTCTCTAGGAAGATTGTGCAACCTGCACTGTCTACCCCCAACACACAGAGCCTCGCCAACCAAACTCTAATTAATGTCATTCACACCTCAGATTTATAACCAGTAACACAAGACTTGGCAGCCCCGGAGAGGCTAGAGGACAGGGCAGCCTGCCTTCTGCCTTGCAAACTGATTTCAAAAGTCTAGAGAATGGGGAAGTTTTTAAAAGGCTCTAACCTCTGGCTGCCAAGACAGCTGCAGAAGGTCGCTAAGTGGTCTCCCCACTCTCTAGGAGAGACAGACCTCAGGGCCGACACTCATTTTTGACAGAGGCTGCTGGCACAAAGGATGCTATTGGCTGAAAAGAGGCTTTATGGAGTTCTGGTCTTAAACAGAACAGCATGTTTCAATTACTGAAGTCATAACCCCCTACACTGTCAGTTTGTTTAATGAAAGAAGGGCTTCTTAAACCTTAATGTGCCATGTCTGTATTGTCACTTTAATAGGCGAAAACATGAAACCACAAAGGCAAGGTGAGCTACTGGCTGCTTCTAGCCAATCCCCTGACCCCCAACACACACACGGACACACACACACGCACGCTTTGGCACTAAGCTTTTTATGCTGTTCTTCTT